GAATGTCATTTCCTGTGTACATCATCTGCTTCATGATCTGTTGTAGCCATAGTGCTTCTGACACCGCCTTTGCGAGTGCGTAGTACTCTGCTTCTGTGGTCGATTGTGCCACGGTCTGTTGTCGCTTTGAAGTGTGTGAAATCACACCTCCGGCGAAGAAGAAGGCATTTCCAAGGACCGATTTACGGTTTGCTTTATCGCTTGCATAGTCTGAGTCACAGTATCCATGGAGCTGCGTATCGCCTTGCATGCCATATTCGATTCCAAGCATCTTTGTGCCTTGTAAGTAGTGAAGGATTTGATCTGCTGCTTTTATGTGAGCTGGCGAAGGATTAGTGAGGAATCTGGACAGAACAGAGACTCCATATGAGATATCTGGTCGAGTCTGGACAGCGAGGTACATGAGCGATCCAATCTTCGATCCATAGAGTTCAATTTCTGCGTGTGAAGCCTTGCCTTTAAATGGGATCATGACTTCTGCAGCTCCTGTAGCCACAGGTGTGTCCACTGCCTTGCAATTCTCCATGCCATAGCGGTGCAGAATCTTTGTGATGTATGCATCTTGACAGAGGGAAATTGTTCCTGCCTCTCTGTTGCGTGTGATCCTCACCCCTACAAAGTATGCTGCTGGCCCAAGGTCTTCAATTTCGAATTTTCGCATCAGCTCCTTCTTCAGCCCTTGGATTGTTGTGATTTGTTTGCTAATGATCAGCATATCATCCACATATGTGACGATGAGGATTCCTGTCTTCTGATTGCAATAAACGCTGTAATCGCTTGCGCATGCAGTGAATCCAAGTCCATGAAGTGCCTTTGCAAGCTCTCTTTGCCAAAGTCGAGGTGCTTGCTTCAATCCGTAAAGTGCTTTCTGTAGATGGCACATCCAATTTGGCGCATTTTCCAGTATGCTGCCATTGACTTCCCAGTCTGGTGGAACATCCATGAAGATTTCTGTGTCCGTGTCAGAATTGAGGAAGGCTCCAACCACATCCACTTGCTCAATTTCAAGTCCGAAAAATGCTGCGATTGCGATTGCGAGTTTCCATGTTGTTGTCTTGCACACTCCAGCATATGTCTGATCAAAATCAGTTCCCTGTTTCTGTCTAAAACCTTTTGCAACCCATCTCGCTTTGCGCTTCATGATAGAGCCATTCTTGTCTCTCTTGGTTTTGAGGACTAGCTTTCCTGGTAGCACTTTCGCGTGTGATGGTAGTTGAGTTCGCTGCATAAGCTTCCAAGTGCCCTTGTGTTTGAGGTTTCGGTATTCCTTTTGGATGGCAGCTTGCCATTCTGGCCAGTCTGCTTGCTGCTTTGCTTCTTCAATTGTACTTGGATCATCGTAGATAGATGTATGTGCTCCAGCTGTGAATGCTGCAATGAATGCTGAGCTCGAATTCTGGTTCTGTGACTGTTGAGTGAGCTCCATAGCTTGCGGTGGCTGTTGTGGTTGATATGGCTGTTGTGGTCGCTCGCGGGTTTGGTTGCGGGTGACCCTGTTGAACTCAGGTTTTGGGATATAAACCTTTCGAGTTCTCCTCGCTGTGATAGTGGGCATCAGCTCTATATCCTCATCATCGACTTCTGAGTATTGATCCAACTCATGAAGTTCTAGTTCCTGAGGTGAGTTTTCGGATTCTGAGATCTCGCTCTCATTTTCGATTTCTGAGTGATGCTCTTCATGCTGTGTTTTAGAGACTCGTTGAATTAGATCTCTGTCATAATTTGCCTCACCCCTGGCTCTATGAGGCAGTGTGATAGATGCATCTTCGTTATCGCTTTCAATTTCGTCCTCATCTGGGAATGGCTTCGTAATGAGTCCTCCTTCGTCGAATCGGACATTTGAGGATCGCACTATGCGATTTTCGAGTGGTCCTCTTCGAGTAGGCACATAGATTTTAAAGATATGTGTGCCTTCATATCCAACAAGAATTCCAACTTCTGCCCGTTCTGTAACCTTTGCACTTGTGACCCTCTTTTCCTTTGAGATTTGTACATAAGTCTTGCATCCAAGCACTCGAAAATGTGCTACAGATGGGCGGTTGTCTTGTCCAGGATGAAGGTTGTCTGTTAAAGCTTCGTATGGCGTCTTGCCTTTCAACTTTGAAGTTGCTGTGCGGTTGGTAATAAGTACAATTGACTCAAGTATGAGAGGCCAGAGGAACTGTGGAATAGCCATGTCGATCATCGCAGTCCGCGTACACTCGCAGATAATGCCAATTGACCGCTCTGATGTGCCATCCTGCTCTGGGTTGTAAGGAGTTGTCATTTCGACAATTTGCCCAAGTTCTTCTGCAAGTTCAGTGAGCTTCTTTGGACTGTATTCCTTTCCTCCATCCATTCTCCATTTCTTGATGATCTTGCCAAATTGTGTGTTGACCATCTTCTGATATTTGATGAGTGCATCATATGCCTCATTCTTCGCGCGATGAAAGTATGCCCATCGAACAGTTGTTGCCTTTTCTGTAAAGATAGTTGCATATTTCTTTTTTCCAATTCCTTCTGGCGTGATAATGACCACGTCAATGTGAACTTCATCGAACGGTTGCAAGTTTCGAGTTACAGCTTGCTTGCGAATGTGTTTCTTCGCCTTTCCTCTCTCGCATGGATCGCACAATTGGAGAGCTTCATCTTCTTGTTCTTGTGGCGTAAGGTCTTCCTCGTCAGAGATCGCCATGCCTCTCACCATTTTCGAGGTCTTCTGTACATTCGCGAGGCCAAGATGTCCAAATCTGCGATGCCAGAGTCGAATTGAGTGTGGAGGATTCTTCTCATTTTTGTGAGTAGTTGCTGGGAATGCATAGGCTCGAGGTGATGCTTCAATTATCATCATATTCTCATCAAACGGAACATTGGAATACCTTTCTTGTTTACAACCAAGTTCTTGTCCATAATATGCAATTCACCCCTTCCTAAGAGCTTTCGAGCTCCAAAGATGTTCATTCCGCAGTTTGGAAGATATTGAACTTTGGTAAGGTGTAGGGTGTGAATGCCTCCATCATCTGTTGCGCATTGCAATGTTCTTTCGCCTTGGCCAAGTGGCTTGGTAATGCCACTTGCTGTGTCAATGGATGGAAGAGTCAATGAGGTTTCGTATGAGCCACTGTTGAATTCCTCGATTGAGCTGGCGATATGTGTCTCTGCTCCAGTGTCAAATAATGTGCCATTTTGAATTGGCGACCTTGAGTGGTTGAGTTGAACACAAATGTATATGGTGGCGTTCTTGCCAAATTGACGATATTCATCTTCTTCATCTGATGAGTTGTCATTCTTTGCCTTCTTTAGCTTGTTTAATTTGCTACTTGAGTTTGACGGTTTAAATGGCATGAACTTCTTTCCAGTCCGTTGTTCCCATTCGTGACGGAGCTTCTTGTTTGTAACGAAGCAGTTTTCGGGTTCATGCCTTGCGTTTGGATTTTCGCAGTTCTTGCACATCTTTCCACTCTTCCCTTTTGCACTGTCTTTGAATTTCGAATTTGGTTTGCCCTTCGTAGGTGGTTTGCCATTGTAGTGTATGCTTCCATCTGCTTTCTTGTCCTTCTTGCGAGCTTCATCCGTAATATCCTCAATAAGCGCGGAGAGTGTGAGCTTTGTTACTTCACTACGGGTATTCGAGCGCTGGCGTTCTGCCCAGATTGGCCATGCATCTGAAAGTGCCATGATGAAGAGAATTGGATGCCACGCATCTGGTGGAGAGATCTCGAGGTTGGCGAGCTTCTCAATTGCTTTCTTGAACCCAATGATGAATTGTTCAAGGTTTGCGTAGTCTTCGTACTTGATCTTGGTGTATGTTTCAATTGCATTGAAGTTGAGAACTGCGCCAGTTCCTTCATATTGAGACTGTAAGATCACCCACATTTCGCGTGCTGACTTGCAACCTGCAAGCAGCTGTGATGGTGTTTTCTTCACATTAGTTTGGATGATGAGTTTCATCGATGCGTCTCCTGCTTTCCACGCTTTCCATGTGGCGAGTTTCTCAATGTCCACCTTCTCATCGAACTCATCTGCTTGTGGAGGAGCTTTGCCTTTTGGGTGTACGAAACGGACAAGGTCGTTGGCATCCGCGAGGTCCTCCATCGCAGTTTTCCATTGTATGTAATTCTCCTCTCCTCGGAGTTTCATGTTCTCTGGGAGGTTATTCCGACCTCCATTGCCTTCACCCATTGTGAAAGGTCTTGTGTGTTTGGATAAGGAATTTCGAGTTTGTGAGAGTTGGATGATGGATGATGAATTCGATCTGGGGCTTCCTAGATTGTAGAATTGATCTTCTTCTTCCTCTTCTTGCTGAGTTGAATCGATCATCTGCTAGAGGCTGCAAGTTCGTCTTGAGGTTTTCGTGGAGTGTATGTGCTGTATGTTAGCGCTTGTCCACGAATTCAGATTGTATGTGCTGTAATGAGCACTTCTCTGAATATGATAACTTTTTTGGCTTTTGCGATAGCCGGGCTCATAACCTGTTGAGATCAGTGGTGTATCTGTATCTGCAGCGGCATAGTTATCACGTTGAGTTGAACAACAGTTCACTTGAATATATGTTTTTTGTATTGTTGTTGTTCTGAGTGAAGCTATCTATGGAACTATTTGTGGGTGGTCCGCAACCCGATTCGGTTGGCGAGCCACACGCCTAACCAATCAGTCTGAGCAACCTCCTCCTTCAACAGTATTTAGCAATGGTAGCGATATCATTACTAAGAAAAGGAATAGATTGTCGCCATCAACAATTAGATATCTGCTTTGCTTACGGAATTGGGGTTATTTACCAGATGCCGACAGTGACGGTGATGATGCAGATGATGAGGCAGAAGAATAGGAATAGGGGCTGTCTATTTTATTATTATATTTGTCACGAGTTTCACTTTTCTAGTTACATATTCTAGTTACATATCATTATCTATTTCAAATATCAAAAGCGTCATTTTTGTATACGGAATTGAGGCTCAACTACCTGCTAAAGTATCTGTAAATACCTACCTTACCTGAGCAAAGTCGCTCAGATACTTACCTTACCTGGCGAGGACCCAGATACTACCTGGGTAGTATCTGCTGAACACTGGTTTATCCTCTCCATGTAGGACATTACAAGCAAAACTTGTCCCATAACGGTTGATGATCTCATCAATATGCAAACCCTGGTGCACATTCGGGCGAGATCCCCAGCTGCTGAACTCCTTCGATTTGCTTGTCCCTGGTTTCAGGGAGTTCATCTGTGTTGCCCATTCAAACTCACTAACAACAGCATCAACTCCCACGCCAATGGCCTCGATTGCCGCTTCAAAGTCAGCTGAGACCATAGATGGAGCATGGGACGAGGCCTGGCTATTGTTGCTGCCCTTGGATTTACTCATCCGCTCAGCGACAGAAGCACATGTGCACAACCGAGTGTAGAGCTGTTAACCCCGGAGAATGATGCGCCTTGCATCCTGATCCTCCGTGCACAAGTGATGGCGTTTGATTTTGCCATCATGGCAAAACAATGCACTAATATCTCTGGAATCGTGAGTTTCATGGTCTTTGTGTCTTCCCGGAACTTGCCCCTCATTGTAGCAAAGAAGTTCGGCGTAATATCATTTTCGCTGAGCTTCATACGAGACATGATAAGGGGTGTTAGGACTGAGGCCATTCCCGCCTCTGAGAGGGACCAAGACTGGAGGTGATGGAGGGGGGATTGTCGCGTGCTCCATCCAGTTGGTGCTGGGAACTGGACAAACTCTTGGAAATACCGTCTCATCCCGGGTTTTGAGAGTATTGCTCTCATGAGGAGGTTGTGGCTCTGCTTTGCCTGACCGTTGTACTCTGAATGACATGGATCTCCCGGCCTCGTCTGGATTATATCCAAGGCCGGAGTCAGCTTGAATATGGCGGGCTCATTTTCATGCATCCCCCATTCTTGAAAATACTTCTTTTTCGCTGTTGGCGGTAAGGTATCTCCGTATTCTCTGATCTGTTTCTGGCTGTAATGGTATCGTCCAAGTGCTACTGTGTCAAAGTCCAGATCTCCTTTCTGTGCTATTGACGCAAGGCATGACCGGCAACCCTTTCCTGCATTTGGTCGTAGGATGCCACTATTTTCATTTTGTTGTGGCATGTCACCTGTGAAGCACAACACTGGTGCTATGACAAACCTATTCTCCCCATTGATTCGGAGAATCATACCTTTGTCAAGCTTCGGGATATCAGTAAGGCATGATATCACATCGTCCATCTTTGCACCATGCGGCCCAAGGGTAAGAACAAAGTTGTTTGATCGTTTCATTCGGTCTCGTAGGCATTGTGCAGGTGTTGTCATATATATGCCCATCATGGAACGATACCGGTTCCTGAACAATCCAAATGCATCCATGAAGATGATCATTGGCAGCGATATAAAAGTGTCCCGGAAGGCGTCAACAATCCAAGCCCTGCCGTATGCCTCAATCTCCAACTCTGCGATATGTGGGCGTGATGTAACGCTGACTTCTAAATGATAGAAGACACAGAGGTTCTCTTGCGTAAAGGTTTACTTATCAGAGGAGGCAGGGGATCAGACACAAAGGCTTCAAGTAACACGTTACTAGTATATAACAAATACTGTATTGAGTTGAGCACGAAGCTCCTATCTAAGGAAATACTATCTACTTATATAGTGGCGTCGTGCCTAGTGGACTCTTGGGAACTCACTCGAGTCCTCGGAGTCCTGGACTCTTAGGACTCTTCTCATCATCCTGCGAGTCCATCACGTGCCTAGTGGACTCCTGGGAACTCACTCGAGTCCTCGGAGTCCTGGACTCTTAGGACTCTTCTCATCATCCTGCGAGTCCGTCACGTGATACTTTCGGAACTACTATTCCCCGCTGCCCCTCCAGGTACCAGGGCCGGTCTCATGCGACCTCCCTCCTTCCTGTCCTGTAGTTGGCCAGCCTTCTTGTTCCGTCGTAACACTCGCTCCCTTCCCCTGGGCATTCGTCTCGAATCCTATAAGTACGTCCATGTCCCCGGGACTCTGCTGCTCCTCAGCGAGTCCTTCAACATGCAACATGCCTACTGACACTGCCCGCAAACTCCAGGAACGCAACGATCTTGTCCGTCGAATAAAGAACCACGGATACGAACTACCCGAAATGGATTCTTGCTCGAACTGCGTGAGGCGAAACATTACTTGCGTGTCGTCTCCAAATGATTCACGGCGGTGCGCCGAGTGCGTTCGTCGCAACTTGAAAGAAAAGTGTGACTGTATGGGTCCTGAGCATCCCGACTGGGTGAAGCTCGAACGGGAGGAGGATCGCCTGGATCGCGAAGAGGAAGAAACCCTTTCGAAGTTACTTCGTCTGCGGAAGCAGAAACGCCTCATCCGAACCCGTGGTAAAGATATGCTCCGGCGAGGTTTGAAAACCCTCGACGAGCTTGATGCGGCAGAGGAGGCCGAACGTGTGGCTGCTGAGAAGCGTGACGCTGTTGAGGCTGAGGAACAGGCAGTTAGCGCTGCCTCCTCATCTGTGACCGGGGCCCTCGCTTCCTCCGATCCACTGGCCTACTCCCCTGCATCTTGGGATCAATGGCTGGCGGATGGCGGCGTCGATATTCCTCCAGCAGTTCTTTGCTGATGTTCCTTGTTGGTTCCCACGAATTATCCGTAGGTTCGTAATTTTCCCATTTTATCAAAAACTCTTCTCGACGTCCTACTAACCTTCTGTCTAGGATCGCTTCGACCTCATATTCGATTATCTCATTCTCGGGTTGGAGTTCGGTGTCGGTCGCAATTGGGGTATTTCCTCTTGCTGGTTCCAGTAGTGAGACATGAAATACCGGGTGTAGTCTAGACTTCTTGGGTAGCTGCAGTCTGTAATTAACTGAGCTGACTTTGTTCAATATTTTGAATGGTCCCAATTTCTTGAAGTCCAACTTTGTGCTTGGTCGTTTCGTTTTGATATGTTTCCGGAGTAGGTATACTTTATCCCCCTCCTTGAAGGCAGGTTCCATACTGCGCTTCTTGTTTGCGTATGCGGCGGATCGTTCATTTAAGAATTGGATGTCCGTCGCAAGTTGTTCGTGGAACGATTTCAGTTGTTCCACCACGATCACGGCTTGTTCAGCTCGTGATTCATCCGGTCTTGGTTGCCTATATGCTTCTGGCTGGTAGCCATAATTGGCAAAGAACGGTGAGACTTTCGTTGCTTCTGTCATCGCGCTGTTATATGCAAACTGTGCGATGGGTAAGATCTGAACCCAGTTGTCCTGTTGATGATTGACATAGCTTCGCAGGTACTGTTCAAGGGTCTGATTTAATCTTTCTGTTTGGCCATCTGTCTGGGGATGAAAAGCTGTTGATAGCTTATGATTTGTTCCCAGTAGCGCCATCAATGATTTCCAGAATTTCGAAGTAAAGAGCTTGTCTCTATCTGAGATGATTTCTTCTGGCATCCCATGATCGGCTAATATGACTCGAATGAAGGTATATGCGAGCGCCTCGGCGTCGCTAGCTTCTAGATATGGTATAAACTTCCCATATTTCGTGAGTCTTTCCGTGATGACGAGGATAGAGTCATATTCTATTCCTGTTAACGGGTCCTTGGAGGGTGGAAGCTTGACGATGAAGTCCAAAGCTATTGATTTCCACGCTCCTTTTGGTACTGGTGTCGACTTGAGTTGTCCGTATGGCAGGTGCCTATTGGATTTTGACTTGCTGCAAATGTCGCACTCTCTTACCACTGTCTCTACCTGCTTCCTCATACCTGGGAAGTAGTAGTGTCGAGTGATTCGTTCGAAGGTTCGTGTTACTCCCTGATGACCGTGTGCTGGTAACGAGTGTTGTTCTTGCACCAGCGGGCGTCTCATTTGACTTGGGACATACACTAACCCTTTGTATCGAATCAATCCTTGTTCGTCGATGGTGAAGTCGCCTTCGACTTTGGACAAGACTCGCTTGGCGCATTCGTCTGTTGCGTAAGCTTTCTTGAGTCTTTCCTCGAGTTCTGTATCTTCGATGACTGAGATCGTCGCTAGTAACTCGTTGTACTGTATTCCTGCATCTGTTTTCTTCAGAATTGCTCTAGGTCTTTCTTCCTTTGGGCCGGCGTAGTCGGTCCGTCTGCTGAGAGCGTCTGCTCTTGCATTCTCGGAGCCCTTGCGATAGGTTATCGTGAAGTTGTAGGCTGCGAGGGTTTCTGCCCAGCGGACTTGTCTGCGGTTTAAAACCTTGGTCGTGGTGAAGTATATGAGGTTCTTGTGATCCGTCCATACCTGCACAGGGTAGGTGGGTCCCTCAAGATATACTCGCCACTGCTCAAAGGCAACGACAATAGCCAGTAGCTCCTTGTCGTGGATGTCGTAATTGAGTTCCGCGGGTGACAGTTTCCTAGAGTAGTACGCGATTGGTTTGAACTTACCGTTCTCGTCTGGTTGATTCAGACATGCTCCAATTGCGAAGTCAGAAGAGTCCGTTTCGAGGATGATCTTCTTTGCAGGGTCAAATGTAGCAAGGATAGGTGCTTCCGTGAACTTCGTCTTAAGTTCCTGGAAAGCAGCCTCTGCCTTGTCCGTCCATTTGAATTCGAGATCCTTTCTGGTAAGCTCCGTGAGTGGTTGAGCTACCTTGGAATATCCCGAGATGAATCTTCGGTAGAAGTTGGCGAAGCCTAGGAAGGCTTGCACTTCCTTGACCGTGGTCGGTGTTGGCCATTCCAACACTGCCATTACTTTTGCTTGGTCCATCTTGATGCCGTGCGTTCCAATAATGTAACCCAAGAATTCGACTTGGTTTTTATGGAACTCGCACTTCTCTGGTTTGAGGAGTAAGCTGTACTCCTTTAGTTTCTTCAGGACGAGTTTGACATGCTTGACATGCTCCTCCTTGGTTGCTGAATACACCAGGACATCATCTAGGTAGACAATGGTAAAGATGTCTAAGTATTCGTGCAAAGCATCATTCATCAGTCGTTGCATGGATGCGGGTGCGTTTGTTAGCCCAAAGGGCATGACTTGATACTCGAATAGGCCATAGCGGGTGCGGAATGCTGTTTTCCACTCTTCCCCAGCCTTGATTCGGATCAGGTTGTATGCTCCTCGCAGATCTAGCTTACTGAAGATCTTTGCTCCTTGAAATCTATCGTGTAGTTCGTTGATTAACGGCAGGGCATACCTGTCCTTGATTGTGATGTTGTTCAACGCTCGATAGTCCACACATAACCGTAGGGAGCCGTCTTTCTTTGGTACGAAAAGCACCGGACTTCCTGCTGGTGATGTGGATGGTCTGATGAATCCTTTCGCTAGGTTATCATCGATGTACTCCTTAAGTACCTTCAGCTCCTTTTCCGATAGCTGATATATTGGTCCGAACGGTGGACTCTTGTCTTTCTCCAAAGGTATCTCGTGATCCCATGGTTGGTGCTTAGGAAGCGCCTCATTCTTAGGGCCTTCCTGGAATAATCGCTCGTATTCCTTGTACTCCACCGGTATACTCGTCGGTGAGGATGCCTCGGCTAGGTCATCGAGCTCGGAGGTTGCACATAACTCCTTCCGGCCCTGGGAGGGTTTCTCCCGTTGTTGCGTGTCCGTCCGTTGTTCACACGCGCACTGGCTCATCACAACTTTCTCGTTCCACCAGTCGATCTGGGGGTTGTGTTTCTTGAGCCATGGCACACCAAGGATGCACGCATGGTTGTCCATGTGCACGATGTCAAACTGAATCGTTTCCTTGTGCCCGTGTAGCATGACCATTTCCAATGGGACCGTTTCGTGGGTCACCATTCCTTCATTAGTCGAGATGGGCTCTCCATCTACGACCATTAATGGGTATGGTTCGGTTTTCAATTGCGTCTTGAAACCTTGCGTGTCTGCTACTTTCTTTGTCATAAAGTTGCCCGTCGCTCCTGAGTCAATCATTGCTCGGAGGTGTCGCTGTTGTATCTTAGCGACCACATATAGTTGCATGCCGCCTTTCGTGGCGCATAGCTGGTTCGTACTAGGCCTCTTCCTGTCGCTCGCCGGTGGCCTACCGTCGAGGACTCCTAGTTTTTTGACTCGTCCGAGGAAGGATAGTATTCATCCGCTTCCAATGGTGGTCCTTGGGGAGATCGTTTCCCTCGCTCTTCTGCTTCGTCTAGCAGATGTGGGTATTTCTTGTATACCTGTTCACTTTTGATAGGCAAGTCTCCTTCAGACTGGCTTCGCCTGAGGGCGTGAACTTGCTCTGCGTCTCTGAAGTGTATCCTGGGCGAGGATCGGGGAAACAACTGATTCTGGTGTTTCTTTTTCCAGTGGAGCTTGCAGTCATCTTCGCTGCAATACTCCCAGTAGACATACGCGTGCCAGGGATGATCAGTCTCTGTTGCGTCTGTCATTGATAGTTCCCGCTGTCCTCTCACCCATGCACTATCTTCCCTCAGAGGTGTGGAGAACGTGTCTAGTTGCTCCATGGCTCTCCTTTCGATGCGTGGAGTGGGTCTCGCATTTTCCCGTCGGAGCATATCTCTGGCTTTCTCGTCGTACTTCTTCAGGGCTCTCCTGCGGTCCTGGTAGTAAAGTTCGACGCTTTTCATATACTTCAGTTTAGCCATATGCTCGACATCCTTCTCCAGTTCTTCCGCTTCTTGGGCTTCCAACTTAGCTACGTCTTGGGACGTGCCAAGCAGCCTGCGGGTATTCGTTAGTTGGTCGTAGTATCTCCAGAGGTCATCCTTGCAGTCGTCCACCTTGCACTTTAACGGAAGTTCCTGTAACAGGTTCCCGTAGAGGTCTTTAAGCATGGGGATTCTCCTCTGGCCATTGGGCTTGTCTCGTTCGGCCCTAATCTTCGCGTGGGCGTGTTTTGCCATGCGTCTTACTACGCTCTTGCACCGTGGACTCATTGGTTCCGTAGGTGCGAGCTCGTCGAAGGTCTCCTGTTCCGAGACGGTGAACGATTCCGCCTCCGACCCTTCATCTGAGCTCTCGTCTTCTGGGGTGCTTTCGCCGTTTATTCCCCAGTCCTGTTTGCTCACAAACGTTGCGTTCAACTGTCCTGTCCAGGTGGCATTGAGTTGTTTGCCGACTTTGCGTCCGCCGTTCCCTTTCTTTGGCTGTCTGCAGTCTCGGGCCATGTGGCCTGGCTTGTCGCAGTTAAAACAGAGTCGTTCCTTGAATTGTCTGTCTTTCTTAGGGTCACGGGGTCGTCCAGGTTTGAACGTGGCATCGAGTTCCATTGGGTCCGACCAACGGTTGTCTCGTGGGTGTTGATCCCGTCGTCTGCCCTCGTTTCCCCGGTATGGGTAACTTTTCTTGGGCTTGTCATAGGTCCGACGTTCCTTCTGGAATTCGTATAGTCGATTGTCGATTCGGACCGTATGTTCGATTAGCGCTACCATGTCCGTTGGTTGTTGTTCCAAACGGGCAAGTTCCATACGTATATGGCTCTTCAGCCCACGTCGGTAGTGGCTGATGAGTGCGCTGGCGTCCCATCCTGTCTGATTGCCGTATCTCTGGAATTCTGTGGAGTATGTGAGGGCGCTGCCAGTCTGCTTAAGTGCAAACAGATGGTCTTCTGCGGTCTTAATCTCATCGATGTCTCCGAACATGCGTCGGATTTCCTTACAGAATCCATTCCAGCTGCCAAACATAGTCTGCGTAGTTGCCATGCTTCCATTGGTACTTTCATATTTGAAATAATCCTTGAGGAATGGTTCGATCCATCGCAGGGCTTCCCCCCTAAGGTAGGACGCAGTCCACAGGGCATAGCTCTCCTGGGTGGGAAACTTCTCGTCATTGAAGTGCTGGTACAGTTCGACCTGTAGCAAAAACACCTCAAGTTCCTTTCGGTTGCCGGAGTAAGTGTCGGGCAACTTGACGCGTAGAGTTTCCTTGAGTTCGTTGACGGTGGGTGCGTCGGGCATCTCCTCATTCTCAGGCTTAGACCTCTGAGACGAAGTTGGCGTGGTGGGGGTTTTCCCCTTCGAACTGACGACAGACATGTTGCTTTGTGTGTAAGCCGGTACCTCGTAGAAGTGGTGCTCAAAGTGTAACGCTGACTTCTAAATGATAGAAGACACAGAGGTTCTCTTGCGTAAAGGTTTACTTATCAGAGGAGGCAGGGGATCAGACACAAAGGCTTCAAGTAACACGTTACTAGTATATAACAAATACTGTATTGAGTTGAGCACGAAGCTCCTATCTAAGGAAATACTATCTACTTATATAGTGGCGTCGTGCCTAGTGGACTCTTGGGAACTCACTCGAGTCCTCGGAGTCCTGGACTCTTAGGACTCTTCTCATCATCCTGCGAGTCCATCACGTGCCTAGTGGACTCCTGGGAACTCACTCGAGTCCTCGGAGTCCTGGACTCTTAGGACTCTTCTCATCATCCTGCGAGTCCGTCACGTGATACTTTCGGAACTACTATTCCCCGCTGCCCCTCCAGGTACCAGGGCCGGTCTCATGCGACCTCCCTCCTTCCTGTCCTGTAGTTGGCCAGCCTTCTTGTTCCGTCGTAACACGTGATTGGTGTCGAGATCTCCATGGATTACATATTCGAAGGCCCAGTTGCACTTGACAATGCATACGTCTTTGACGACAAGACCCATATCCGCCGCATCCTGAATATGGCAAGAAAGGAAACGCCTTTATCACGGTCAGAGAAGTACGCCTTTATCACGGTCAGAGAAACTTCTCTGACCGTGATAAAGGCGTTTCCTTCCCATTAATTGCATCTTTCATGGTGGGTGGTAAGCTTCCTCGTGTATATACTGGCTGAATCTGGACAAGGACTTCATCTTTCGTTGCTGCACAGGCCCGGCGATCAATTCCAATTGCAAACACCCTGCCAATATGCTGGCCAAACCTCTCTCCACGATACCGCACGAAATCAGAGCACAATATTGGACTCCCATCTTCGTAGCTGATTGTGGCTCCCGAAGTTGTGCGTATGGAGCACAGCCAGGCCTCCGATTCCCACATTTCTGTTGGTGCATCTGCAAACGCCCCGAACCCAGAATGTAGCCCCCCAACGAAGTCTTTCGAAGACAAGAGTCTTGTCACCAAAGACGACAGATCTACCCAATGCATGTCGGCTCTCCTCTTCTGTGCTGCCTGTGACCTCTCCGCGGGAGACATTGTGCGCAACTTCTCCTGATTGACATCTATGAGCTTGTGCCGTTGTGAGATGAGCGGCAGTTGTGAAATGAGTCTCTTCTTGAGGGTTCTCACATCCTTTGGAAGATCCATGAGATTCTCTATTGATTTAACGAGTTTGTATCCCTCAAGGAGACCAGCGTAGGCATCACCTGGGATAGAGTACTTCTCGCACCACATTGCCGTATACATTTCAAAGTCGGTAATGCAATTTGATGCTTGCTTGTGTCCAACCGGTTCTGATCTGTCATCTTGAGGCTGGATAAACTCTTCGGAAAGTGCGGTGAAGTTGCGGGGGAGCGTTTCTGTCTCAGGGCGGGCTGGAGGCGGCATTTCCAACCCAGGGTCATCGTCGGGAGGGGCATCTCCAATTGGGAGGAAGTCTTCGTCCGGAACTGAGTCTTCTACTGGGAGCTCGACACTGTATGAATCAGGATTGTCAAATTCGTCATCAGCTGGTTCCATTGACTCATCAAGGTTTAATAAACCCTGGGCAATCTGTTCTGCAACCTGCTGGATATTTGCAGGGGGCAAAGGCGCTTCTCCGAAAACACTGTTGCCATCATCATCAGCATCAGAATGATCTTCCCACCCACTCATATCCCTATCACCATAGAATGAATCACTTATATCATCTGCACTGAGAACTTGGTGCGTATGATTAAAAGTAACATTTCTATTTCTGTCATCTTGCTGCCGGAGAGCAGCCCGGGGAATAGGGATCCGATACAGTTGCTGCATCAGATTCCCACGCCTCATCCGCCGGGATGAATGGCGAGGCATTTCAAACCAAGATATCCTCCTATGGTTGAGCTATGGCCGGTGAGGTTGTAGAACTCAAACTTGTGGATTTGAGCGTCCGCCCGAGGTCAACTTGTCACTTTTCCTTGATTTTGAATGGCAGCACCAGGACATGATCTGGATTTCAGCCCGACTGGAGATGGCAAATGTTCATGGAATAAATCAATAAATCCAAGCTTAATTAAATTGATTTATTTGAGCTAACAAGCTGGGACTGTCAGATGGCAAGGCCACACCTGTTGCTGCAGCGGCTTCGGATTGACTGGTGCATGCAGCAGATGCTGGGATGATCCTGGGAGAGCCTTGCTGATTCTGCATATTCTAGGGGATAGTATGCTTGACTGTCGAAGTTGAGGCTATACAGAGGTGTATATGTCAGCTTTATTGTGTCTGTAGCAGGGGGATATTTCTGAGGCTACACGTACCTTTGGAGACAGCGGCAGTTCTCAGGGCAAATATGGAGATATATCAAGATTCCAGACACAGGCAGGTCAAGCATATGATCATCTGTCGAGCTGTAGAGACCTAAGGAGGGCTTCATGTCAGCTTTCTGTGTGCCATAGTCGGTTGAGTTTCATAGCTGGGGGTCTTACCTCAGGGAAGTTTTCCTGGCTTCGTTTCTAACACAGGGATTGTCGGGGGATTTTGTACACAAAGGCTGGAGATAGCACTTTGCTTGAGCACAGGGCAGGCTTTAACTTTGTGCCTCCATTCAACTTTATGCGCAGAGTTGAGGAGAGTTGAGGAGACGTCGCTCCCGTCCACGGTGTGAACCTTGGTGATATCTGTGATGATTCACAGAGTCACCTTGGGGAGGAGACAGAAGAAAGTGCTGAAAGGGTTTTCGAAGAGGTACTTTGAAATCTTGAGCCAATGATTCACAGAGCGCTCGGTGATGACAGAGAATATTTCTGATACTGCGGTTGTAACGCTGACTTCTAAACGATAGAAGACACAGAGGTTCTCTTGCGTAAAGGTTTACTTATCAGAGGAGGCAGGGGATCAGACACAAAGGCTTCAAGTAACACGTTACTAGTATATAACAAATACTGTATTGAGTTGAGCACGAAGCTCCTATCTAAGGAAATACTATCTACTTATATAGTGGCGTCGTGCCTAGTGGACTCTTGGGAACTCACTCGAGTCCTCGGAGTCCTGGACTCTTAGGACTCTTCTCATCATCCTGCGAGTCCATCACGTGCCTAGTGGACTCCTGGGAACTCACTCGAGTCCTCGGAGTCCTGGACTCTTAGGACTCTTCTCATCATCCTGCGAGTCCGTCACGTGATACTTTCGGAACTACTATTCCCCGCTGCCCCTCCAGGTACCAGGGCCGGTCTCATGCGACCTCCCTCCTTCCTGTCCTGTAGTTGGCCAGCCTTCTTGTTCCGTCGTAACAGCGGTGTGCTGTTTGCGCTTTGGGCGATTCCTTTTTGGTTCTGGAGTTGCCCTTGAGGTATATGGACATATGAACTCTATTCCAAATAGTTAATATGTCTCCTATATCACTATCTGAGCTTGACTTACCTTTTTGGCGCCTGGATTCCTGGTTGGAAGGAATCTAGGATGAACTCTGTGATGAAGTTGAGAGCATGAGAGTTATGAGTGCTAGGTCATGTGACCTTATTTGGCCGGTGACCATGTTCTTGCTTCACTTTGGCCATTCTCTTTTCAAACTCTACCAATCCAAACAGGCTTCAAAATTATGATGTAAGATAGGTTTCTTTTCATCTACTATCTCTACAATTCATTTTTTTACTGCGGCAGAGTACATATTTTATGTTTCATACAATTCTCCCAACATTTCTGTTGTTTCTACCATGTCCCCGTCTCCGTTTTCTGACTTTGAGGACCAGAGTTCCATATTCATAGATGATGAGAACTTGGATGTAAGTTTCTTATTATCTTATTAATCTTTTACTAAGTGTTTTTAGCCACAGCTTCGTGACCAATATCGCCGCAATGAACGTTACGATGAACGCCGCTCCAGCCAGAGCAACAACTCCCCTCCTGGCCTCCACTCGGCAAATTTTCGGGCTGCTGCCCGGAAAGCATCACTTGATACCAGAAAGAAACGCAAGCGCACCATGACCTACCATGACGATTCTCAGGAAGGAGCAATGCGCAAAGCCATCTCCCGCCGATATGCAGAAGTACTGGATGAGCTTGAAGGAGATCATTGTAACGCTGACTTCTAAACAATAGAAGACACAGAGGTTCTCTTGCGTAAAGGTTTACTTATCAGAGGAGGCAGGGGATCAGACACAAAGGCTTCAAGTAACACGTTACTAGTATATAACAAATACTGTATTGAGTTGAGCACGAAGCTCCTATCTAAGGAAATACTATCTACTTATATAGTGGCGTCGTGCCTCATGGGTAATCTGGATAGTTGGCGGATAGCTAGATATTCAGGATAGTTCGTGGATAGCTCAACTATCCAATATCCACTAGTTTCTGCAACTATCCATTAGCCCCGTCACATGGCAGCCTACCCCGCTTCCCACTGTGACTCACACGTCACGTTACTAGGCCCTGGCCCTGTAACCATGACATCATGTTACTATAGCCGTAACACTTTGCTTGTAATTTTGCTTCCTTCTCCTCACGTAACAGTCGGGCGTCTGATGCATATAACTGCCCCCCCTTCTGTAGCGATTTCCGTGCCCTTGCCTTTGCTGTTTTCTGCTCTGCTGACCATAAGGTAACAATGTCAAGCTCGGTCTTATAGAGCTCAGCCCGATGTAAAACAACTGTAGTTCCACGTGCAAATGATTGAAACCCTTCTCTTGACGGTTATGAGAAAGCTGCCTCTACTCTCTTCTGCCAATGTTTAACTGCCTGTATAGTTTGCACACTAGTTTTTGGAGTTGAGATAAGGTCGTACGAAGCAAATGGCTCATAGTCTGGTGTTTGATTCCGGGTCTCTTGTATTTTATCAATTACTAGTGGAGGATTATATGGATATAGTCCTGCATTTCTCCAACCTGATTGAATTGTCCGGACAGTTAAGGATTGCCGTCGGATTTGTGGAAGGTCGGAAAGGAACGTACGTAGCTTATACTCATAGTCATAGCTACGTACTGCTTGATCAAGTGCCTTTTGATGGAAGTGTTTGCACTGCTTAAAACTGTTACATCAAGAGGTTGTAGTAGATGCGTAGTATGAGCAGGAAGGCAGCAAATAACAACGTTATGCTCTTCTGCTTATGTGAGAAAGTGCTCCGTTTTATGAGAGTCATGGCTGTCGAGTAATAGGAGGCGGGTGTCGTCTGGTGCCATATGCTCTGCAGATAGTTGAATAAAATGCATGAGGTATTGAATTGCAATGTCATCGTTTGAATACCCACTCTCATTAACGATAACAAGAGCATTTGGCTCAAGGTTATCATTATACCATGAGTCCATATGAAGTTTCCCCGGAATGATAATGGCTTCTGCAATTGCTGTACCACTTGCATTTACTCCCTCAATCACAGTAACAGAGAGCCGATTCTCAGGATTATCAACAGTCCATTGCTTTACGCCAATCGGCACAATAACAGCTGTAGATTTATAACATCCAATCATGTAGCCAGTCTCGTCAACATTCCATAAGTTATATGGCTTAATGTTGTGTTTTGTAATAAGTGCGTTATATGTAAGGAAAAATTCCTCAAACACCTCTTTCTTTTGTGCCTGCTTTCTATGCGTATTTAAAGTCTTCGTATGAATCGAGTGGAATTCAGGGTGTGCCTTAAGGAAGCGTTGTAACCACCGTTGCGATGGGATCGTATGATCGGGTCGCAAGTCTGCTGTCACGGTTCACCAAGGCATAGGGCGCCAGTTGGGTATTATGAATTAAACTCAATCTAGAGAAGAAAGGAAAGAGAAGAGGAGCACTCGAGCAGTGGCTCGATCTATATACAGCTATGTTGTTGTGGAGTGAATTCTCTTTAGCAAGACCAGTTCTGAGAATTCACTCCACAACTGAAAACTTCGCTCCAACCCCGGAAAGCTCCCCACACCCCTGAACCCCCACTCGAGCTGCAAGGCGCACTTGATATCGTAACATCTGCAACAGCCCGTAAAACCATTGATCGGTTTGCAGGGACCCCATGCTTAAGTTGGTCATATATAAATTGACAAACTGCAGTATCTTGTTCTTGAGATAAAACTCGGTTTTGACCCCCGTGGGGAAGGAGAAGTAATGTGTCGTCGGAGTGTCTCACGGTTGACATTAAACTTGCGGGCAACCCAAGTAATTGTATAAGTATCTGGTTGTTTCAAGTAGAACTGCCGGGCCTCAATAAGACGGTCAGCTCGACTTGGATCGCTATTCAAAGGCATCGTAGAGGGTTGTTGTTACGACAAATATTATTATTTCATCTATGTATCAAAGTGGCGGTGTACATGCACATATCGCTGTCGCGTGCACAGATCGCTGTCGCCACCTACGAGCGAAGCGAGTGGGTGGAACACCGAGTATGCGGTCGCTGCCACCGAGTTCGGAAGGGTGGGTGCAGGGGTAGTTGCGGCCTGAGGCAGCGCAAAAATCGCTCATCGTGATTCCGGGTAGTAGCGAAAGGTGCGGAACTGGCTACAATCACGATGAGAATCGTGATTTTGGACCATCATCGTAGTAGCCAATAGTGGTGTTAAATTACGTGGTGGCCCCATAACTTTATGGGAGAGCGTCGATGGTACCGAGTAATACAGAACAACCAGAACACAGGCTTCTACAGGCTTCTACCGTTCACCCTAGCACTTGTTTTATATCGCTACGTAGGTAGTGTACGGTAATACAGCATATAAGAGCCCATTTACAGCTTTTTACGAAGGTTGAGCTATATACGGTCGCTGTCAGCGAGCAGAATCGCTAAAGCCACGGTTGAGGTGGCACCGACGTTGCGACCGTAGGGGCTACGGCCCAATTCGGAAGGGTGGGTGCAGGGGTAGTTGCGGCCTGAGGCAGCGCAAAAATCGCTCATCGTGATTCCGGGGTGGTGGAGGTTATATTCGGACACCGGTGTCCGTATACTGGAACTCGGTGCGAACACTGACACATACTACAACACTAGCTGGAATTCGTAAGCGTTAAAACTCTCTTAGGGAAGGAGCGACGGGCATGTTCCTTCCAACTTATAGAGTTATAATGTTATAACTCACACAAGATGCATAGGATTCATTGCGGGCACAAGAAATGTATGCAAATGTAAGACTACATAATTAAGATTTGCCTGAACCATCCCAATCAAACTGGCCTGCTGGCCCAATGGCAAGGCGCTTGACTACGAATCAAGAGATTGCAGGTTCGATCCCTGCGTAGGTCACATGATTACGATCCTATTTGGATATATTTTTTCGCTTTTTTCTCACCTGGCCGGCCCAACTGAGAAAGTGAGAAGCAGCGCCTGTTGAGTTCCCTTTGGTATGGAACAAACAGTAAACATTTTTGGCGCTATTCACAATTCAAGTTATCTGGATACACCGTCTATTGGCCACCGCGGTGCAACTCCCATAACTTAAAGATGACGCGTAACTTAGTGGTATCAATTCCTGAACGTACAATATGCCTACACAAATACAAGAAAATAGTAACTCGTAATCTTTCCATGCTGCCCAAGCGCCAAAAACCGCCCCTGCCAATACTATAGATACTCACGATTCCAACCAAGCCTGTCGTGGCCTTCCTCCGCCTCACTGTACGGGCGTAACCACTTTCCCTCCTTCAACGATGATCTGCTCATCAATCCTCCTCTCCGTCTCTCCGTACTCAAGGCGCTTGTACGTCGTAATCCGCGCCTCGTTCATGTCAATGTCGAATAATCGTACACGCCGATGGTACCCGCCATAGCCTCCATAGCCACCAAATCCAGACCCGCCGCCGTAGCACATCCAGAGCGCTGGACGCTCTTTCTCCATGGATAACCCGCAGTACTCGTTTGCGTGGTCACTGTTATTTTAGATTAGCCGTGTAATGCGGGGACGTGCAAAGGGGTACATACTGTCCGCAGCTAACCATCAAAATCCCTTCTTCTACGAGAGCATCTCTGAATCCCGAATTGAAGGTTGGCGCCGTGACGCCCTCCCTGTACTCGCCTACAACCGTCATGTTCGGGGTGATATATTCGGGCAATGGGATATGGATGAAGGCGAGATCCATATGCACTTTCGTATACTCCCGATGTGCCTTCTTCAATCCCTGGGCCGTCGATTTAAACCAATCGATTTGGTTCTGCTTCAACCAGTCGTAGCCTTCATATGCTTTCTCGTCCGGCGTGTAGGCATGCGTATCCAGTAGATATAATGTGAGCGCCGAGTGTTTCGAAGAGCCTCGCGCAAGAACTTCAACATAATAATTTCCCACCCCAGCAATTTCCTCGGGCCCCGCCTCAGAAATGGAATAGGGTAGCGATTCGATGAGGTCCATCTGTGCGGAACGACTGAGTGTCTTCTCGTCGTCGTGGTTCCCGAAGATAGTTGCATAGGGAATCCTGCGCTTGATGAAGAGCTCGGCAAATTTGAAGATTGCGGTTTGAGCGTCGGGCGCTGTGTCACCATTAACCTGGTCGCCACTGAGAACGACCAGGTCAGGCTTCTCATTGTCGAGGATTTTGCCAATAAACTCGAGGGTTCGAGTGTCCCCCTCACAGGGCCCCTGATTCTCCGGCATCGCATCACGGCATTCGCCGACGCCTGTGCTCAGATGCAAGTCCGCAACCTGCAAGATCTTGAACTTCCCATTGTCGTTAATTCGCGGAACTGTTTTTGTAATCGGAGCTGGCTTGCCGCGCCGTATGCTTATTCGCGCCCCGTATTTCTCGCCGCCACTATCAAGTAGGAGCGCCGTGTCCTTGACCTCCCAGCCTTTGCGCGGTTCAACTGCGTCAGGGCCGAAAAGGACGTCCACACTTGTTACTGCATGATTTGAATCGCTTGCGTGTCGTCGCCCACTACGCTTTATCCAGATCCCCGCCGGCCTGGACTCCCATTGTTCATCGGCCTCGTCTTTAGCCCCGTTTATCGGGACTAGGCGACTGACAGCTAGATCAACCACAATCTTATCACCCGGTAGCAAGTCTTCCTCCTTCTTCCTCTCCACGAAGACATATCCACTGTTCACCCAGGCGGTCCCCAAGTACAAGTCCTTTTCGATACGGTGCCATGTTTCGCCCGGTGATTTGCAGCTCGTGAAGAGGTTAACGGTAGAGCACGTCTTGACGGTGACATCTGTGATCACCAGCCCGGCGTGGTGTGCTGGGAGGAAGGTGTGGACCGAGGCGGGAAGGACACGGAATCGGCTGTCCAGGAGGAAGAGGAGTATTATACCGATTACCGTTGCTGTCGAGAGCTGGATAATAGCGCGCAACTATAAAGCAAGTCAGCACAGATCGAATTCTACCGGGCCGTAGTCGCGTACATATCGCCGGGTCATCATGGTCTCTGTTAGCTGGCCTTCTGAGCTCGAAGGCGCGCGCCCTCGAAGCTTGACCTAATAGACAGCGGGCTCTCTATGGTCCGTCCCATGAGTCCATCCATCCAGAGGCTAATATAGCAACTGCCTCCAAGCAATAGGGAGTATGCGCCTCTTGTTCGTCGTCGCGGGAATGATAGTTGTAGTCTCAAAGAGGATTTCGCGTCGGCATTGGTCGAGGCCGCCCCGGACTTGCCAAAATCCGGGGGTTGCATTTAGCGAGACAGCTAAAGCCAATAGTCTCAGGAGTATAACTTCCCATGTTAACAGTGGCTACTGGCTCACCACTCTACTATCTTATGTTTATAATTATAATTCAGTTGCCACCCAAATTCTGTTCGAGTAAGTCGGTTTATTGGCAGTCGTTGGCTGTTGCATGGGGATGGATCAACGGATAAATGCTTAAAGCGTTGCCGTGTCAGATGTCCTAAAGCGCAGCGCGTCTTGCCAATCTCTGAGCGCTGGCGCAAAGAATTCAAATCTGGGTGAAAGAGGCATCTATCGCCTGATATACTTTTATAAAATAGAGAAACAATCAATAGTATATAATCCGAAATACTACCCATGGGACATATCATATTGTGCTCCCTTACATGCCGTTTCCACGTTTTCAACGTGTCCCAGCCTTTTGAGATATCAAGGTCGCTAAGGAGCACCTGCCCCTGTCGACAACCTCATCCCCTTTCAACCATCGTCAGCCGCCCTCTCTCACTACTTTGCACGCCTCTGCTATCCACCAAACGGCACTATTCAGACCCCCATTGACGTTGATTCTTGAGAGGACAGGTTGCTGTATAGGCTCTGTAACCTTTCATGACAACTGAGGTCGAATTTAGTGCCACAACAGTCTCTACCATCGAATCTTCGAACTTGGACCCTGGGTTTCAGTCGGCCCCTTGATAGAAGCTCCAGCTGTTTTGCAACCTTCAACACGATCATTCAGCCAGTTTTTACCGCATATTCTCCTTTACCGATACGCAAGGTCTTTTAGAACCTGCAATTTCCATCGCCCGAATAATTTACCTTCCCCAACAGCCACAACCTTACCTTTGCGTTAACAACGGCACGGCCACCTGCATACTTGTGGTGAAACAAGCCGAACCTAAAACCCCTTTGGAGCGTATATCTCCCGAATCTTTATAAAGAGAGAGAATCACGCTCAATGGCTGCGGTATCCGCACCGCAAGCCACAGGCGCGCTGACACCTCCTACGAGCTCTGATGGGAATGCGAGCGCGTGGGATTACTCCGTACCATCTGGAAACCAGGTATGTGCCTTTCACGGTCTTATGGGTGGAACCTTCGTATAGGCGTATCTAGGACACGCAAAATCCCTCCAATGCCTCTGTTGATTACTCTGTCGTGGAAGCTGACCTGGCTTTAACTTTAGCAATCTACATTTCCCCGCCAGCAACACGACGAGACCTCTCACGCAGAGCGAAAGCAAATGACTCCCCATCCCAACGGCTCTACGCGCCGTAATGATGCAGCAAGGCAATCTAGATCAAATTCAGTCGCTGAGCCAGTTCACGCGCCCCCACGCTTGAACAACCTCACCAAAAAAGGCAGCATGAGTGGAACGGACAGCCCATCTGACAGTCTAGTCGACCTCTACAGCTCTGGACCTGGAAAGAGTGCAGCCAACGGTGTGGATCATAGCGAGCGGGGACGAGAAGAAAATAGCGGAGCTTCATATCATGAAGACGACCCTGGTTGGATACATAGGGACAAACTGGCACGGATCGAGAGCCGCGAACTACAGGCAGCTGGGATCATACTCCCCCGCACGCGGGCATACAGCAGGAGGAACAGGAGTCGAGATACGTCGGCCACTGGTCTGCACAGAAACGAGCAACACCCGGTAAAGCAGCAGCGCGTCGAAAGCCCAACCGCCGAAGAGCTGGAAGATGACGACTCTGGATGGGATCCACGAACGCCAGAAGAAATCGCAGCGGATGCCAACCCCAGTTATCGTGGCTACGGTTCTCTCTCGAAGGGCTCGTCCAAGATACCGCTCGCTCTGACGAGCCCCGCGCCAATACCCTGGGAGTACCTCGAGCGCGACGCACCTATACAACGCAGCCGTAGCGCCGTATGGGGCGGCGAAGACGACTCCATTGCCAACCCCCTACCCCGCGCGAAAGCTTCCTCCGAGGAACCCCTCTTCCAACCCACCCCAACTACCACCCCGTCCGCGCCAAAACGCTTCGCCTCCACCGATAGCTCCCCCAAGAAGTCCGCCAACGCGACACCTACAAACCGCAAGATGTCTGCCACTAGCGTGACCTCAAAGCCCCCGCTCACCCAACAAACCCAGAAACAAAAGGGACGCTCCGGCTCCAACAGTCGCCCGACGACCCGTTCCGGCGAAATCAAGACCCCTGAGGGTGATCCGCCGTGGCTCGCATCAATGTACAAGCCTGACCCGCGCCTACCACCCGACCAACAGCTCCTCCCCACAGTCGCGCGACGCCTGCAGCAGGAACAGTGGGAGAAGGAGGGCAAGTTCGGGAACGTATACGACCGCGATTTCCGACCCCTCAACGACGACGAGATCAAGATGCCCGAAGCCGCAGCTGTGGCGCCAGAGGAGCAACCCGAGGCGAAACAGGAAGAGCTGCCACAATGGCCGCTGAGAAAGGCGAGAAGCCCCGAGCCGAGTCACTCGGGTACGTCAAGCGGTTATTCCACCATGCCGCGCATCCAGAACGCGCCGCCGAGCAGGATACAGTCGCCGATGCTGGCGCAGTTCCCCGTGCACGGATTCCAGCCGGAGGTGCCCGAGAAGAACAAGGGCTGCGGATGCTGCGTCGTGATGTGATCTATTAATCCGTTGATACCCACGTTACTGTACAAGCCGTTTTTTCCCAAGCGCCACCATATCGGGCTGGGATATTATCCTGCTCTGGACTCGCCACGCTTCACATACCTCGCATTACTTCAACAGCATGGCTGCCCAGCGACTTTTGGCAGCCCTTTTCTGCACTTCTTTTTATATATTACACGACGACCTATGACCCACCCTGATTACTGGTTTGTTTTTCCTTTTCCACAGCGTGTTTGTTTTTTTCCCTCCCCTGATTCCCGCCCGCAGGGCAAGCGGCAGTTCATTTGTTTTCCATGTGTCTCATCGGCTCGGTGTTCTTGTGCGTGTCTGTGCGGCGTTCTAATTGCTCTTTATTCTTGATATTACTGGGGAGCAGGAGCGCTGTTGGGCTTTTGGTGCGGTGAGGGTGGTGCTTGGTGCGTTTTGTTTTCACTTGGTGAGGAGGATTAGGAAGGAGGGACGAGGCAGGGGATATGAGAGGGGAGGCGGGAAAGTGTGGGGTAGGAGTAGGTGGTTGTATACATATACTGTGTAGCTAGATTGGGTGATTGAGGGGACGAGGGAGGAGGACGATGGAATTTCAAACTACGATTGACAAATACAGCGATTGACAGATGAGATGTGATGATTGAGATGCAGGAAAGCCTCCTTCCTTCCTCGGCCCCGTGCTAATTTGCCACTTGACTTGGCAACGTCCGGGGTTCATCGTACTACGACAACGGAGGATGAGCATGCTTCCGTGACGACCCCGAGATGAAGAGGGGCAGTGCCCCGATTCGTCGTGCCTCTCTCATCCCCAAACACCACCCGTCGGTGCCCCACACTCGGCTCACCTCACCTCGATTAGGGTACATCCGCTGGATATCTTAGCTAGATTAGTTTGGAGAAATCCCAATCCCTAATCCCCAATCCTAGCCCTCCAAAACCACCCCCCTAAGTCGCGTCCCCCTACTGCCCCCATGCGGAAAACCGGGAAACACTGGTGAATACCAAGACCTTACTTCCGTGCAGTAGAGCACTACTCAACTATACCCCACGAATCGGCCGGCCTCTGGAGTGCATCAGCAGCAGCACCAGCACCAGCACCAGCACCAGCACCAGCACCAGCACCAGCACCAGCAGCAGCAAGCAGCACGTATATAACTGCTGATGCACATATACACATGTGCATGCGCGCGCGGGATGGATGGGCGGTGGTGCACACGACACGATACACGATGTCATGATAGTGCTCTAAACAACAGCAACTTGCCTTCCTGTAATCTACTCCATACCGATACTGCACGAGATCTGTGCTGGTGGCCCATATACAGGCTTGCTTGTAGTGTCGGGTTGAAACGGTGTAAAGATAAAAAAAGATCAAAAAAGATGCAGTAAAAACAACTTTCAACTCCGCTGTCCACCAACCTACCTATGCAACACCCCCAAGAAGCCTCAAAAAAGCTTACAGCTCGCTGAAACCTTGGATCTTGGGTGTAAACACAAACAGGGCCCCACGCAGGGCTGTCCTGGGGCTGGCTGGACTGGACTGGGGCAACACAACACAACTGAACCCCGATTAAATTCTGCGACGGCTAGACCTGCCCTTGTGTCACGGGGGGCTGTGTTTGCAAAAGATGTCGTCGTTCCTGGAATGGTCTGGATGGGGGTCTGGATGTGTCGGGCAGGTTGGTTGGCTTTGCGTGTTTCGGTGTACTCTGCTGTACTGTACCGTACGTACCGCAGCGCTGTAAGGCTGGTCTCACGTTGAGCCGCTGGTCTCACGTTGAGCCGCTGGTCTCACGTTGAGCGCTGGTCTCACGTTGAGCTGCTGGTCTCACCCCATCTCGATGCCGGAGTCTCACGTCCCTTCCGCAGTCTTTACCATTCCCGTAGGTCGTGGCACCTTTTTCGTGGTCTCACCAGTCTCACCAGGCCGTGTCCGAGACTGGCGGCGCGGCTGTGGTGGAGGGTTGTTTGAGATAGGTTAGCACGGCAGCCCTCTCTGTGACTGTGACGGCGAGATGAGCTCAGCATGACCGACGTGCTGTATCGCATGTACTGCGTGTACATACGGAGACCAGTTACATCGTCAGTGACGGGAGATCTGCCAGCCAGCCAACCTGCTGCCCGGGTCGCTGGATCGATGCCCGACCATGATTCTTCCCGTCTGGTGCGGCCGACGCGATGTGAAGGGAGGGGCATGGATGTACAGCATATGGTATCGGTGCATGGGATATTAGACGGTAGATACTAGGAGTAGAGTTACTAGGAGTAGACTTAAGTAGAGTAGACTTAAGTAGAGTAGACTTAAGTAGAGTAGACTTAAGTAGAGTAGAGTTACTAGGAGTAGACTTACTAGGAGTAGAGTTACTAGGAGTAGGCTTAAGTAGGGTAGAGTTACTAGGAGTAGATACGAGGAGTAGAGTTACGAGGAGTAGATACGACGAGTAGATACGACGAGTAGAGATACGAGGAGTAGAGTTACGAGGAGTAGAGTTACGAGGAGTAGAGTTACGAGGAGTAGAGTTACGAGGAGTAGACTTACGAGGAGTAGAGTTACGAGGAGTAGACTTACCCCATTCTCCTCCCCTACGTGCCCATACGTTTGTGAGTGGGGGGGCTATAAAAGCCACGCACAGGGCTGCGCGCACATCGATGTGTATCTCGCCTCATATTTTATATGTGATCGATACATGAGTTTATGCTGTTGTGCACAAATTCTGGGGTCCCATGCTCGATCCACTCACAAAACTTTTTGAACATTACCTCCGTACACCTGACACGACGTCCTTCTAACCACCCATGAAAGTCCCTCATCCGCAGCAATCACCGCAAAATGGTACTTCGTGTCGGTCGTGTCTAACTTCTAAACACAAACACCTAACACAAACACCTAATTCTAAACACAAACACCTAATTCTAAACACAAGCTAATTCTAAACACAAACACCTAATTCTAAAACACAAACATCTAATTCTAAACACAAACACCTAATTCTAAACACAAACATCTAATTCTAAACACAAACATCTAATTCTAAACACAAACACCTAATTCTAAACACAAACACCTAATTCTAAACACAAACACCTAATTCTAAACACAAACACCTAACCCAAGTTACACCTTTCACAAGCCTACCCAATGTATATCTCCTGTACCTAACAAGTATCTCCCACCCATATTACAACCCAAGTTACAGCCCAACTACACAGCCTCTTTAGTTTTCTTAGCTCCCAACGGATCATATCCGCCCCAAATCCAAATGCCAAATTAATTCCCAACCGTCACCCACCTCACTCAGCTCACCTTAACTCGGAATACCTCACCTCAACTCGGAGTACCTCACCTAAACTCGGAATCTCAGAATACCTCCTGTGCCCGCTGCCATTGCCCATTGCCCATCCCCCTAATCCATCCCCAATATCCCCAATATCCATCCCCAATATCCATCCCCAATATCCCCAATATCCCCAATATCCCCAATCCTCCCTAACCCATCTTAACCCTTCCTACCCATCCTTAGCCCCATCATCCTTACCCATCCCATGTTACATATTTAAATCAGAAATTGTTACAGTACCAACTACATAATGACCCGCCCTTTCCCCTCCCCCTACAAGTTAGACCCCATCGCAATAATCTATATTACTCTATATACTCCCAGCACAAAAACTTTCTACATTTACGGAACGGGAACGTCTTTGGATTTTTTGGGGGGGCATAGATCAGAGGTCATAGACTGCTCGCGCTCTCTCACACGCCGCTGCCTGCCGATTCTCACACCCATACAACCACAACCACAACCACAACCACAAACGAACCACGAAACCGAGAAAAACGAAACACGACGCCGCGAACATACTCTACACCCCCAACAAGCACATCCAACACTCACACCATTTCACAACCCAACATCCGCATCCGATGGAGGCCCCGGCCCCACGCACACCCCCCCTCGACCCCTCGAAGTGCCACTCCACAGTCGAGACCATGCGCTGCTCCCGCTGCGCCATGAGCGCCGAGACCGTCTCTCAGAACGGCCGCGACGTATCTGCCGACGATGCCCGCGCCGGTGGCATGGTCAAGTTCGGGCATAACCTGTACTACTGCGATCGCTGCGCCAAGATCGTGGGTTATAAATGAAGAGAGCTATAGAACACCGGATTCCATAAGAGAGAGGATTATACTGGGATGAGCGGTATATGGAGGGGATATGGTAGAATGAGCGAGAAGTGTTGCCCCTGCCAGCTCGGAGTGCAAGACAACCGCAGAGAGAGGAAGGCAGGGCCATTGCTCCTTCCCTGTCAAGTTGCACGGCAGCAGCGGGAAGGTCAGAGCATCGCTCCTGCCACACCAAAGAGAACAGCAGAATACTCGAAGCCCACAACGGCAGGAACGTTGGAGCATCATACCTGCCACCTCGATATGCACAACGGCAGGAACGTTGGAGCATCATACCTGCCACCTCGATATGCACAACGGCAGGAACGTTGGAGCATCATACCTGCCACCTCGATATGCACAACGGCAGGAACGTTGGAGCATCATACCTGCCACCTCGATATGCACAACGATGCACAACGGCAGGAACGTTGGAGCATCATACCTGCCACCTCGATATGCACAACGGCAGGAACGTTAAGCATCGCACCTGCCTCTCGAAATGCAAAAGCGTCAGGAACGTCAATGCAGCTCTCCTACAGTCCCTCAGCGCATGAGAAACACAAGTCCTCGACACACCACAGCAACAAGCATCTCAGCTTGCTCCAAAAAGCCTTTCACTCACTTCGACACACTCGTTACCACAACCGCCACAACCTACCATCCAAACTCCACCACCCCCACCCAGCCCCCTCATGCCCAAACTCCCCCCCCCCTACCGCCCCGACTTCACCACCGAAACCTCCCTCCCCATCGACCTCATCTCCGCCTCCTACCTCGCCTTCCTCACCACAACCCTCGCCCTCATCCTCCTCGGCTGCCTCCTCATCTTCCTCCTCCGCCTCTCCGTCCTCTTCGACCGCCGCCTCGCCCGCGACGGCTTCGTCGGCGGCGTGCCACGCGAAGAGAAGATCCTCCAGCGCTGCAAGGAGAGGGGGCATCGCGTGTGTCGCGAGCGGGGGGTGTGGGATGTTGGGGTGCGTGGGGGTCCGCCGGTGAGAGAGTACGAGGGGGAAAGCGTGGAGGAAAAGCGGAAAGGGAAGAAGTTGCGCTTTTTGCCGGTGCCGGAGGTTATACCGTTTTCACCTGCGGAGGGGGATGTACCAGTGACGAGAAAGAAGGAGAATAAGGGGAAGGGGAAGGGGAAGGAGAGACAGCGTGCGAGGAGCCATAGTAGCCATATCAGCAGCGGCCACCGCACGAGCGAGGAGTGGGGGACATTCAGTTCCGCTAGTGTCACTGGGGTGACGGCGCGGAGGCGCGCGTCATCGATGACTTTGGAGAGTGGAGACTGGGCATGGCCGCCGCGGAGAAGGACGAGCGCGGACTGGGTGAAGGGTGGGGAGGAGGAGCCTATGAGATTTTTCGGGGCGGGGTCGTGGATTGGGAGAGTGAAGAACAGGGGTGAGATGCGGAGTGGGAGTGTGAGTGTGATTGAGGGAAGGGTGTTGGGAGAGAGAGAGGGTGGTGGAGCTGTATGAGTGGGACATGGCGATGATAGATGAGATGGTGCTGGTACACCTGAGTAATTCTTAGCAAGCACGGGGAGCGAGTAGTTTTATCACAATAGAATAGAATGAGAAACCTCAACTACAGTCTGGTACTTCTTGCGAGAATGCCTTGCGTGACGTGGACCCCTCTATCAGAGAACAGACGCAACAGCAACAGCGTTGTCGCTGCTGCCATCGTCTCGCTGCTTCCGAGCCAGTGTCTCGCGAGTCCTCAGCTCGAGAGCTTCATTCATCGAATCAACCAAGCCAGCCTTCTCCGCCGGGAGTTCCGCAAAAGCAAAGCTCTTAACCAGCGATGGCACCAACCCCTCTTCAGCCCCATCCACCTCCTTAAACCGCTGGCCCGACCCTTCATGCTCCTTCTCCACCCCGCTGAAAACCTCCAACACCTCTGCATCTAGGTCAACCACGTAGGCCCACTCGCAAAACAACCCGTCGTGGATGAACTTCAATTCCTGGCGAATCGGCACCTCCGCCTCAGCCGTAGCATTCGCCACAACCTCCAAGATCCCCGCGCTCGTCTCGCGCCACATAGACGGACAGGTAGGTTTCATCCGACTAAACACGCCAACCTCCCCGCGCACTGCGGCAGCGTGGTGCTCCTCGTCTTGCCGAGCAATCTCTCGGGTCATCCCCTCCACCTCCTCAGCGGTCGGGGTGTAGGTATGCGCTAGGCCCTGCTTGAGGCGCGCGATGTTGCCGGCGCTAAGGAGGAAGGCGACGATGGCGACGCCTTGGACTTCGGGGTAGCCGTCGAATTGGCCGTATGGTGATTGTGACTGTGTGGTAGATAGACCTTCTTGTGTGAGCATGGATGTGGTTGTGAGATGGAGTGAACAAGGATGGATGGGATGTCCTTCTTTTAGGGTGCTGGATCGCTTACCTGAAGCGTTTGGGACTTGATTGTTGATTCTTGTTTGTTGGAGGGCTGTTGCGCTGAGGTGGAGGTGGAAGAAGAAAGACGAGAAAACGCTCTCTGCTTGTTATTTATACCAATAATTTGCTACCAAGCAAACGTGCGAAATCAAATTGGGCTTCTCTGATTGGTGTCAATCTCACATTGAGATACAAGCGGAGAAGGAAGGTACTATGCAGTATATTTCTCAACAGGTAGATGCCTATCAACCTTCCCGGCAGGGGTAACCATCAAACAAGCACATATCTTTCTACATAGAGGAGTATCCGTCTCTTCATATCCTCTCAGCACTTTCGCAGACGTGGACGCTAGTATGGATTTCGATACGGACGTAAACTGGAGTTCAACTTTGGAGCAGCGGGTAAGAGCCGCAGCTGATAGAGTGATCATGAGGATATATCCTCTTTAAATCAGGCCATGCATGGGCAGGTATGCGTGGGAAGTTTCACCCAGACCGTGGACCGTGGACCGTGGTCCCACGATTTGTAGTCATGTGTGGCGATAAGCACTTGTACCTCTTGAATGGAGTCATCGGACCTTGAAGATTGTCTGATCTGAGAACCTTTATGGGTGCAGCTGCCCAAGGTACGGATTGTTGGGCCGCTCGTGGCATGCTTTCTGTGGTACTCATATCTTACCAATTTATTTTGGTTGGTTTTAAGACGCATTTAGACGCATTTAGACCCAATGGCGACGACAGGGGCGCGCCGCTAACTAATTTAGAGTTCACGCTATGGAGATTTAACCTTAACCTTAACTGCCGACCAAACTAATGGGATTATGGGCGTGATTCATTATTTCCGAGCTTATTAGATATTTTGTGCATCTCATGTAAGTGCGGTCTCTTTATCTTTTTGTCTCTTCTTATCCCATTTTTCTGGGACTTTGGCAACTATTGTCACATCTGACGCCTTATACTCCATTTTCATCAACAAAGATCGCATAATGCGTTGTCTACCTGGCCTCTGCGTAACTAATCTATTAGTTATTCAGTTGGCCGTTGCGCTCCCTACTAGTGCAAATGCCATCATTTCAAATTCGACAGCGACGAACTCGTCGATGACGACCTTCAACTTTACGCTTTCGTCGATGCATACCTCGAACTTGAACTCCACAACCTCGACTCGTAATAAGCCGACATATACGCTGGCGAGCAAGACTATATCAGAGTTACCGAACATCAACAAAGAGACATCGACATCGACATCGACATCTAAAACAGCATATCTCCCGACTCCGACTATATCGACAACATCCCCACTGAATACGACAAGTATACCTCAGAACTCATCTCTCACACAGGTGATCACAAACATATTAAATGGCACACAGAAACAGGGATTTGGAGGCACTGGATATGCCAAAGGAAATAGCCTTTCAGGTGTGAGCCTTGCAGGCTCAAATACGAGCAACGATCTTGCTGTCGCCGAGGCGTTTGCATCCGACATGTTCCGTTTCGCTGACCGCCAGAATATATCCGATGCAAGCTGGACGTCCATGGTCTGCAGTCCTTCCGCTTTCGAAGATGCTCGCAAGAAGTTGGCTCCCATAGATCTCGCCGCGCTAGAACAGACATGCGCGATCGTCGCCTCTAACGGGACTAACAATACATTCAACCACTTTTCCAACTCCACTGGGATCCGCCCTTACATCATTAGCGGACTTTCACCCGGATCCTCGTTGCGACGCCTATTCAAAGTAGCGTCATTTGCGCTTCCCCAGTTCGGCCGTGGTTGCATGGACGACTTTGGCTACTTTGAGATGACGGCTGCGAATCTGGAGGAGTCCGGCGTGTGGGAATGGTACCAAGCGTGGACACAGGAGGCAAGCTCAGGGCCGCTGGGGCCGCGATTCGCCGCCTATGGCGAGGTGAGGCTTTTTGGGCATGTGTTCTTGGGAGACGATGACTATGACTGTGGGTTGGAGATGGGTGGCTGCACGAGGAGGCCAAGCTGTAGCAGCATCATGATGCAGTACCAAGGCGACAAAGAGTTGGCACGGAAGGTGTATTTTGTGATGAAATTGCACAACACGGTTAACTTGGTGCTGAAGACCTACTATGTAAGTTCTCTATTATATATATATTTTCCCTGGTTACTGACTATGTAGGACACTCTTTTGTCATCGCACGTCAACGTTGGAAGCTACATCGAGTCTATCATCACGACATGCACGCAAAGGGTCTCGGGAGAAGCAACCAAGACATGCACCTTCATCCGAAGTAGCGTTAAAAATGTGAACGACTTTGTCACTGAGATAGGTATCGCCGCCATGATGAGCAGTATGGCTCTCGCCTCACCAACCGCCACGCAGCTCGTTCCTGGCAAGATTCTCGACATGCCCGCCCCGGTATTTCTCTTCAGCAAGACCCTGCGCATCTGGCGTATGTGGAACGCGAAGGCACTTGGTGGCCCACTGCCGGACAGCCTCTGTGAGGGCCTTGGTATGATTAAAACAGATGACCCGGCGCAGATCACTGTGTTGAGGAACGCCCTACTCGCAACGAGCCAGACGTTCCGAAAGTCCTTGAGCGCGAGCACGAAGCAGCTTAATCGCGGAACGTTCTTTGATGGCGGCCCCTCGGCATTATCCTCTATGATAGCTTCCCCCATCTGGGCCAACGAGACTGGAGTCGTCCAAATCCTCACGGACCCTTACCAAATGGAAGAGTTAGTTTCCCCCTTCCCTACTCCCTACCACTGACTGACCAAACCTAGCCTCATGACAACAGCCATAAAAGAAGGCCTGATGGCCGCTTCCTACCGCGCCGCAAAGTGCTTCATGAAATGTAACTCCCATCCCCAAGCCAATCTCTTCTGCGACGGCTTCAACGACTGGGAATTCAGTGCTGCTGCACGCGAAAAATACGGTGACCCTGGTGATGGCCATGACCCGCAATCCCCCAAATCCGACCTCGAGCGTCAGATGCGGATCTGCCCGCGCTCGGACAAAGTATGCCAGATTGAGTGCTGGTCGCAGGAGAAGCGTGGCTTCAGCATGCCAATGCACGGCTTCCATACCGTACAGGGTGCGCCGCTCAATTTCGACGTCAAGGATGCGATGGCGCGACTCTACGACTATTACAAGGCTCGCGGTAATGCGGATCCGTATCTTAACTGGGGTGGTGATGCAGTAGGTGATATGGAAGGCGGCGCTCCGCGGTTTTGGCTCCCCGTTTGTGATTCTGACGCGGGATACGTGCATATTGCCGATTGGGGCCACCAGCGAAATCACCTGTCGGACAATGTTGATCGCCGTGCCTTCCCGCTGTCATGTGGAAACTACCGCTCTGATGAAACGGAAGAGTTCATTCGCGCCGTGGGGATGGAGAATCTAGCAACCGAGCCCCCCTTCCCGCTTGATCCATTTTACAAGGTCTACGCACCGAAGGTAAGAATAATTCTAGTGAGCCCAGAATATAAGCATCCACTAACTACGACCAGACACTAAGCGCTATCATTCAAGCACCCCTGGACTCCTTCCTCGCCTTCTGTGCTCTAGGCATTGCGTACCCGCAGGATGCCCCACACGCTGCAGCTATAACCCCCTTCCGCTTCCAGCGCGAGCACTCGCGCTTTTGCGAGCCTATAATTGCCGAGACGCAGGGAATGGAATGGTACGTTGCAAACATGCATTTCTGCGAACACAGCGAGGCCGCGCAGGAGCTGTTCAAGGCGCAACTTTCGACGCCGGCGAAGCATGTGTCGGGTATGGGGATTGTCGTGAGCCATAAGAAGTTATGTGCTAGGTGGGAAAACAATGAGAATGAGAAATCTGTGCATATGGAGACTGAGAATGGGGGTTATATAATTGGAGTTGATATTGAGAGAGGGGATGGGGGCAGAGAGTATTCAGTCGGGATTGGTACAAAGGAACGGGATGACAGGGAGAAAGAGAAGGGGAAGAAGGGGAAGGAGGGGGGAGAGAAGGAGGAGAATGTGGAGAAGGGGAAAGGGAAGTTGAAGGAGAAGTCAAAGTGGAAGGGAGGCGGGGCAAAGGAGAAGGGGAAGTGGGAGTGGAAGGGAGGCAAGGGGGAGAAGGAGAAGGAGAAAGGAAAGTGGAAGGTAAATGGAAAAACCAGGGCAGGGATTGAATTTTTTTAAGCCGAATCTAAGAATGAGGTGGGATTTAATATTTTTTAGGAGTTGCCTGTCTACTGGTTCTAATTTTGGTTTTGTTAGCACACACCCCCCTACAATTTGAATAGGGATTACAATTCACGTTAGCTTTATTAAATTTGCAATGGAACATAATTGAATCAAGACAAAAAGTAAGAAGCGAAAAATAGTATTCTCTATGTAGCTAACAACCCCTACCAAATCACGATCCATCCCGAGGGTTAGACCAATTCGAAGGGATGGTGAGCGACGTCTCCACCGGGCTTCTGGGACCGCTGACACTCCCACTTGTCCCACTGGCACTGCTCCCATCGTCACTGATCTTCCTCCCACGCCTAGGCATTGGCAGGACCGGCCCCGGATCTTCATTCGAGCTCTGCGTAAACCCACTGACGCCACTCAGCATGCTGCTGCTGCGGCCGCGATGCGGCCGCGGTGGTGTATACGCCATGCTCGGAACGGAGTAGTCAGCGACGTTAACATTCGGGGCATTCCAGGGGTAATTGGATGCTGCGACGTTATCAGGAATCTCGAACGGGTTCATCGTCGTTGGCGAGGGCTGCGGGATTTGAGACGCCAGGTATACGGCTTGCTGGATCTCGGCATTCTGGAGAGCATGAATGCTAGCCCATAGTGTCGCTAGGGACTGCTGCATGTCGAAGATCTGTGGCTCCAGCTGATCTAGACGCTCGAGGTACATCATCTCGGTGCGGGCGCGCTCGGCCTCTTTCGCACCGCGCTCGGTTGATTTGCGTTGAGCTTCGTCGAGACCCCGTGCGTTGGCATCGGTGATACGCTCGTACTCTCCGTTGAGCTTGCTGATGCGGCTTTGCATCCTCTCGCGCTTCTGAAGGAAGGCCGTCACCTCGGCGGTTAATGCGTGAAGCTCATGCTCTGAGGAGACCTTGGCCTCGTGGAACTTGCTGCGCGAGGCTTTGTGGATGTCTTTCTCTGATTGCCATGAGACCTTGGAACACTTCCACCCCCTGAAGTCGTCGTCGGGAACATCTTCGAGGCCCCTCAATTGGTCAGTCAACGAAGCAACTGCATCCTCGGCCTGGCGCGCATGAAGATGGCTCTGTTGCACCTTCTGGCGCAACCTGTCATCATTGCCGCCAGACGACGCAATGTTGCTGCCAAGCTTATCGATCTCCTTTCGGGTTGAGTGCATCTTGCTTTTCTGCTCCTTGCGTTCACGCTTCTGACGAAGGCGTTCCTCATTAAGCTTGGCCTCTGCAGAGAGGATGGATGTTTTCAGTGTCGTAGTGGGAGAGTCGGGTCGTGCAGACCGTGGTGCGGTGGTTGACAGCGCAGGAAGAGGTGTCGCATCTGTGGCCGGAGCCGGCATTGTTCGAACATTGGTCGAGAAGATAATCGCATCGTCAAGGGTGCCGACAAATTCGCATTCGTAGTTTGAATTAGGAGTCAGCCCAAATATCTCGCCGCTCCATTGATCACTGTTTGTGTCGAGGGGGTTAATTCGAGTCGGTTGCCATTCCGTCTTATTCACACGGACGAAAAATGGCTTCGACCGATCAACCCCGAAGCTGTATATGGTGTCTTCTGGCGTAGATGGGTCAGCCCGAGATGGGAAATAGCTGGTGTTGAAGCAGACTTCATCGGAACCAATGTGCGTTATCCAGATACGGTCGGCTTCACTGTCGAACGGCGCGTTCCCAAGGTTGTTAATATCAGTGGCATTCGCCCCAGCAGACTCTGCTGCGGTGCGAGAGGTCTCGTACTCCTTGGCCATGACGACCTTGGTGCTAGCAAGAGCTGCCCAAAGTGGCTGCTGTATGCGGACCTGAGCGCCAACCTTGCGTTTCTTTTTCGGATGCAGTGACTTGTCTGCGGCGCTCGCCGAGCCATTCGTTTCGGTAGAGGCGGTAGCTGTTGAGGCCGTGCTCACTTGGTTGGTAGGTTCCCCTTGTGATATGGAGCCGTTCGCAGCCTCCGGGTCCCCAGCTGCGGATGCAATGAGGTCCCGTCTCTCCCGTCGCACATACCAATCCCGGATATATCGAACAATTCCTTGGGTTAGGATGTGGACCGCTAGGATCGTTCGGACCCAGATGAAGGCACCTTTATTATTTGTCGAAGAATTCTCGAGGGGATCATCGACATCGGGCGAATAGTTGAAGAGGAAGCTAAGACGTGATTGCTTGAGAGAACCATTGCGAGCAAAATGCGATGCTCCAATGATTCCGAGACAGACGAGGACGTTGTTGAAACCTGCATCTTTACTTGTCGTGCCTCCACCCAGTGTCAGCGCAATAACGGTCTGCGCCACATCCAAGGACAGTTCCTGTAGAGGGCTCCACAGGAATAGCCAAACGAGTAAGACAAGTAAATCTACAGCCACGAGGGTGGCGACGGACGGGGTTCCCAACGACCCCTCAAATATGTCGGTAAAGGTGAAGCTTGAATGTGCGCCTGTGGACGGAGGCACAAAGGTGAGCGTGGCGAAGAGGAGGTGGATGAGAGTGAGGAACGCGGGTGGAACTTGGAGGAGTACGATGAGGATGGCGATTGTGTCGTAGAGCGGGCATGAGCGTAGGACTGTGAATAAGAAGGTCACAGGACCAGCGTCTCGGTGCACAGCGGGGTTCTTGGCGGCGTTCACGTCAATTCTGCGATGGGTCTCTTGCGGAATGGACATTGTTGCGGCGTTCTGGTACGACTCGGAGGAGGAGGATTCGGAGTAGCCACTTAGTGAAGCGCGTCGGACGACAGAGGCGGCGAGCTTGGAGTCGGAAGCACCATTGGGAGGCCGTGTGTGCCCTGGTCGTGTCTGTCCATGCAGAGGAGGGGTTTCGGGGAGCGACGATACTGGCGGTGGTTGTGATGTTGGCTGCGTCGCGCCATTGATGTGCCCATTGCTCCTCTGCTTCTGTATCCTCTTCCCTGGCCCTACCAGGCCATTCTCGTGCCTCGAGTTGTGCTGGTTCGCCGCTGGCCCTTGTGGTCGTTTGTTGGCAGCAGAGCGTCCCATACGTCCTCTGCTGACCCAGACGCTTCCTGAGCCAGCTCAAAGCTGCAGGGCGCAGTCAGTCTGGTGGCGGTCCCAGACCCAATGTCGTAAGGTAGCCAAGACGAAGGGGTTTGGTTGGCAGTTGTTTTCCGAGGAATGCGGCGGATGGTGAGTATAGTTGGATGGAGCTGCGAGGTTTTCGCGGGGAGCGAATATGGTTGATCTAGCGGTAAAGGACGTGTGGTCCCTAGCTGAAGATTCGGGTTGTTTGAAAGGCTGGTAAGATTCAGCAATTGGTGGTTTGAGTAGCGCACAGCGAAGCGGGAGGCGTTTTAATGCTGAGTCAGCAAGAAAAAAGTAACGTACTTCACTAGCGAGCTGCACATACCCCCGAGCTGCGCAAACCCCCCATTTTCACTACTTTACGGACCTATTACACAACAACAAAATTAATTAATTAATATTAAAATACACTAATGAGAAGCTTCCCTTTGTGCGCACGTACGAGCTGTATGCTCAAGTGATCTACATAAACTACACATACGTGGCGCGCGCATTTGCGGCTGGGTTGGCTGGTCTGTAACCTCCTCTACACGCTCTAAATCAACCCTTTGCGATCGATTCAACCCTTTGCGATCGATTCAACCCTTTGCGATCGATTCAACCCTTTGCGATCGATTCAACCCTTTGCGATCGATTCAACCCTTCCTGAACTGTTAAAACTTCCCGCTGTGCAATATGAGCAATATAAGACCTCCTCTGTGCCCTCTTCTTCTTTTGTCTCTCATTTTCGGACAGTAATTTCCTGTTCTCATCCGCAAGAAGGACAGTGGAATGAATTGTCATTTGACAGCCTTTTACCAGCGCGTAATCTGTTGGACTTGGGGGACTCTGCGTACGCGGCTAATGTACCCCTTGATAACTTGAGCTTGGAGCTCTAATTGAGCGATGTTCTGGGGCATTTCAGGTACCCAAGGACCTTGTACGGAAGTAGAGAGGTCTGTTGGTGGGGTTGGTGTCCGTAACTGAGTATTGAGCTTAACAAGTACTCGGTGTTCCACCCACTCGCTTTGCTCGTAGGTGGCGACAGCGATCTGTGCACGCGACAGCGATATGCAACACACAAAATGAAAGAAATAAGCCTCATATAGCAACTATGTAACTATATAATTAAATAATAAAATCAATAGAGCTACTATCACTATCTCCACTACTACTGTCACTACTAATCTCAATGTTACTATCACTATGATCCTTACCATACCGTAAAATTATCACTTTGGATTTTAACCCAACCTTCTTCCGCTCTGCTACCCTCTTCCTCTCAACCCTTCGCTCTTCGATTTCAATTTTCCGTTGTTGCACCTGTAGCTGATTTACTACTTGCTTTGATTCCTTTGCTACTCTTGCCTCTGCCTTTGCTTGTAATTTTGCTTCCTTCTCCTCACGTAACAGTCGGGCGTCTGATGCATATAACTGCCCCCCCTTCTGTAGCGATTTCCGTGCCCTTGCCTTTGCTGTTTTCTGCTCTGCTGACCATAAGGTAACAATGTCAAGCTCGGTCTTATAGAGCTCAGCCCGATGTAAAACAACTGTAGTTCCACGTGCAAATGATTGAAACCCTTCTCTTGACGGTTATGAGAAAGCTGCCTCTACTCTCTTCTGCCAATGTTTAACTGCCTGTATAGTTTGCACACTAGTTTTTGGAGTTGAGATAAGGTCGTACGAAGCAAATGGCTCATAGTCTGGTGTTTGATTCCGGGTCTCTTGTATTTTATCAATTACTAGTGGAGGATTATATGGATATAGTCCTGCATTTCTCCAACCTGATTGAATTGTCCGGACAGTTAAGGATTGCCGTCGGATTTGTGGAAGGTCGGAAAGGAACGTACGTAGCTTATACTCATAGTCATAGCTATGTACTGCTTGATCAAGTGCCTTTTGATGGAAGTGTTTGCACTGCTTAAAACTGCTACATCAAGAGGTTGTAGTAGATGCGTAGTATGAGCAGAAAGGCAGCAAATAACAATGTTATGCTCTTCTGCTAATGTGAGAAAGCGCTCCATTTTATGAGAGTCATGGCCGTCGAGTAATAGGAGGCGGGTGTCGTCTGGTGCCATATGCTCTGCAGATAGTTGAATAAAATGCATGAGGTATTGAATTGCAATGTCGTCGTTTGAATACCCACTCTCATTAATGATAACAAGAGCATTTGGCTCAAGGTTATCATTATACCATGAGTCCATATGAAGTTTCCCCGGAATGATAATGGCTTCTGCAATTGCTGTACCACTTGCATTTACTCCCTCAATCACAGTAACAGAGAGCCGATTCTCAGATTATCAACAGTCCATTGCTTTACACCAATCGGCACAATAACAGCTGTAGATTTATAACATCCAATCATGTAGCCAGTCTCGTCAACATTCCATAAGTTATATGGCTTAATGTTGTGTTTTGTAATAAGTGCGTTATATGTAAGGAAAAATTCCTCAAACACCTCTTTCTTTTGTGCCTGCTTTCTATGCGTATTTAAAGTCTTCGTATGAATCGAGTGGAATTCAGGGTGTGCCTTAAGGAAGCGTTGTAACCACCGTTGCGATGGGATCGTATGATCGGGTCGCAAGTCTGCAACAGCCTGTAAAACCATTGATCGGTTTGCAGGGACCCCACGCTTAAGTTGGTCATATATAAATTGACAAACTGCAGTATCTTGTTCTTGAGATAAAACTCGGTTTTGACCCCCGCGGGGAAGGAGAGGGGTAGTAATGTGTCATCGGAGTGTCTCACGGTTGACATTAAACTTGCGGGCAACCCAAGTAATTGTATAAGTATCTGGTTGTTTCAAGTAGAACTGCCGGGCCTCAATAAGACGGTCAGCTCGACTTGGATCGCTATTCAAAGGCATCGTAGAGGGTTGTTGTTACGACAAATATTATTATTTCATCTATGTATCAAAGTGGCGGTGTACATGCACATATCGCTGTCGCGTGCACAGATCGCTGTCGCCACCTATGAGCGAAGCGAGTGGGTGGAACACCGAGTACTCGTTGGGGTCAAAGGGAACAAGGCCTGTAGCTGCGAACCCATTGCGGACCATATTTACACCCATACCTTACGGGCGACGGTCTATTTTTTTAGACGGTTGTGGCACTCTTTGATAGGGTGCTGGCCTAATTTTACATGGGTGATTTGTGGGCCATATGATGCTCGCCAGACCAGTCCAGGACTAGTTGCCCAGTACAATATCTCCACCGTAACAGTATTCAACACTATGATAGGCCTCTCAAGCGATATCCATGGCACCAAATATCCTTCAAAACTGAGCTAATAAACTAAGTGCTCTATGAGAGACCTTCCTTCAAGTCATATTAGCCGATCACGGATTACCAGAAGAAATCATCTCAGACAGAGACAAGCTTTTTACTTCGAAATTTTGGAAATCTTTAATGGCGCTTTTGGGAACAAATCATAAGCTATCAACAGCTTTCCATCCCCAAACAGACGGTCAAACAGAAAGACTGAATCAAACCCTTGAACAATACCTACGGAGTTATCTCAACCACCAACAAGACAATTGGGTTCAGATATTACCCATCACAAAGTTCGCATATAACAGCGCGATGACCGAAGCAACAAAAGTCTCACTGTTCTTTGCCAATTATGGCTATCAGCCAGGGGCATATAGACAACCACGACCAGATGAATCAAGAGCAGAACAAGCTATGATCGCCATGGAACAACTCAAATCGTTCCATGAACAACTCGTGACAGACATCCAATTCTTAAATGAACGATCTGCGCATATGCAAACAAGAAGCGCAGTATGGAACCTGCCTTCAAGGAGGGGGATAAAGTATATCTACTCCGGAAACACATCAAAACAAAACTGTAATAGTGGGTGCACCAGATGTGAGAATCTAGCCACCCAAGGAAGGGATGACTAAGACAACACACTGTCTTAGAAAACAGAGCCAAAGGGTTGTAGCTTAGACTATTCCACAATGCAGCAATCAGGTGTGTGATGTAGTGAAGTGGTTCAGACAAGTTGCAACAAATGTTGAGTCTGGGAACTCAGGGGTAAGTCAGAGGTTAACACCTCACTGACTTTTCAGAAACAAGGAGTAACAAGATGAATGCTTGGAAGCTTGGAAAAGACGTGGAAGTATGTGATAGTCGATTTACTGTATTGTCTGCTTGCCCTTTCTTAAGGAAAGGGCAATCCTATTTATGCTAAAGGAGTGTAGTTCTCTCATTTTCCAAGACTTTCCATGACTTAACAGGCTTGGTAACTGTAGTCGACGTAAGAGAATCCCATAGAACCATCTCTTAGGTTCGTAGCCTATAGGAAGTAAAAGGAGGTCCAAGGTCAGAGTACCCCTATAGACAAATTATGTCATAGACAAATTATGTCATAGACAAATTATGTCATAGACAAATTATGTCATAGACAAATTATGTCATAACTTAACCAATCTTGTGGGTAACTAAAGAGCGATGACGTGTAATGAATCATAGAGGTTCGTAGGAGCTTTTAGAGCTATCGTTCATGCTCCTAGGCCTCTAGTTGGTAGAGATATGTCATGTGGGAGTATGAGTGATGTCATGTAATGAATCATAGAGGGTTGTAGAGATATGCTATGTGGTAATATCGGCCCAGTCATGTCATACTGACATTCATTGCACTCAGTTTGCTATCAAACTCAAGAGCAAACTTTGAAATCTCCTCCTCAAACCTACAAGTCACTATACATATTTTGGCTTATCACACCAACAACAAGAGCAATACTACTCAACGATTGCTACAACCATCTATGATTCATTACACGTCATCGCTCCTTAGTTACTGGGCCGATATTACCACATAGCATATCTCTACAACCCTCTATGATTCATTACATGACATCACTCATACTACCACATGACATATCTCTACCAACTAGAGGCCTAGGAGCATGAACGATAGCTCTAAAAGCTCCTACGAACCTCTATGATTCATTACACATCATCGCTCTTTAGTT